GTTAGCCCAGGGCCAGTCTTCCTCAGCAAAAAGAGGAGGATTGGCATCAGATGTTAGCTCAGGGCTGATCTTCCTCACAAAAAGAAAAAATTAAATAAATAAATAAATAAATAAATACTCATTTAAAAAAAAAAAAAAGGAAAATCAGCAACGGATGTTAGCTCAGGAGACAATCTTCTTCACCAAAAAAAAAAGTCAGTAAGAGAGGCTGTAGGCCTGGTTGGAACAGAAGCAAGTGCCTTAGAGCCAAGCTAGAGGTATCCTTGCAGACACTACCCTACACTTCATTACCAGAGCAACTGGCTCCAACGTTTCTCATGTTAATTCCTGATCTCCTCTTGAATACAAGTTTCCCTATCTCATGGAGTATATTCTCTTCCTTACAGTGCCAAAGGTCGTATACTACACACTTGAACACATTTATCACAGCTCCATTAGCTGCTGAGAAAAAGATAAGGATGCTCCATCTTTTAGTTTTCTCTCCCTGCAGTGTCTTTTCACTCCCTAAATACACCTCTTGCTCATTCTTGACTTCCCCTCTCTCCCTATCTATGCTCCCTGCCTACTCTCTCTGTCTCCTCATAAGCCAGAGCCATTCAGCTACTGCTCCACCACATTCTCTGGATGCTGTGGACCAAGTTAAAACACTCATAATCCAAAGAAGCAAAGTAGAACACAACTGTGGTATTTAATATTACTTAAATATGCTTTATTTCTTATTACCACCGTTTCTGGGTTTTCTGCTTAAGGTGACCAGAACTGAGTTTTACTCGATGCCATAAGAAGGCATCTAATTACATAGGTAAGCCTCCTCAAAGGCTTGCTTTCTACCACTTTTCCCCTTTCCAGTCCTGCACGCCTAAGGAAGCCTAGCTAGTTGCATTCTCCTTCAGTCTCACGACTCGCCCTGCGCGACACAGTCCCCTGCTCCGCCTCAGCACATTCTACTAACTCCCAACTTTTTCTGGGGCCCAGGAAGCTTGTGAGCATTGCTGGGTACCAGCCGAGCATCTCCCGGGCCCTGGTGGCCACCCATCAACGGTCAGCAGGTCGGGGCACTGGGAAGCCTGAGAGGGGACGGGAGGGGGGCAGATTCGGGACTTCCGAGGAGGCCCCCCAACAATCCCGTGGCGCCGCAGTCTCCCCTCTGGAGGGTCGAATCGGGGGAAGGGCGTTGAGTCGGGCTGGGACAGTCCATCAGGGCCCCGAGACCTCGGTCCCTCCCCAAACAGCGGGGGGTGCCCCGGGGCGACTCCGGGCGGGACCGGGGACGCGGCGGGGCCGGACGGGGGCAAAGGGATGGGCGGCGCGGCCGGCCGGGGTGGG